AGAAGGAGGAGGAGAAGGAGAAGAAGAAGAAGGAGAAGGAGAAGGAGAAGGAGAAGGAGAAGGAGAAGGAGAAGGAGAAGGAGAAGGAGAAGAGGAGGCGGAGGAGGAGATTGGATTTATACCCCGCCATTCACTATCCGAAGGAGTCTCAGAGTGGCTTACAAACTCCTTCCCCTCCTTTTATTTCAAGCAACCTTGCAATACACAGAATGCTGATAAAAGAAACTGTGTTGAGGTTTCCTGTAGCATTAAACTACGTAGCCCATGGTGCTGTGAGAATGCTTCTTTAATGTCTGACGACTTTGCAATGCACAGAATGCTGGCAAAAGGAACTGTTTTAAGAGTATCCAGCTTAGGTTGATTCATAAATGGGTATTCAAGGTAGACATGATGGGGGGGGGGTAGCCATGCATGTTCCTTCATGTGCTTTCCCCGTTCACAGGTAGAAGGGGTCACAGGTAAGGGGAGCAGTTTGCACAGGAGGAGGTAAGGAATCTTGTAAACTAGCTTGAAATAAAAGAAGCATCTACACAGCATCATGGGCTGTGTAGTTTAAAGCTATGGACAATCTCAGATATAGGAGGAGGAGACTGGATTTATACCCTGCCCTTCACTCAGAGTCTCAGAGCGGCTTACAAACTCCTTTCCCTTCCCCTCCCCACAACCGACACCCTGTGAGGTAGGCGGGGCTGAGAGAGCTCTGACAGAAATTGCTCTTTTTCAAAAACAGCTGTTTTCAGAACGATGGTTTGCCCAAGGTCATCCAGCAGCTGCGAGTTTCCTCTGCTTCCCATCCTGCCACCAAAAGATCTTCGGCGTTGGGGGGGGGCTCTTTATGCTTTCAGCAACCTCGAGACTTGGCCCTCAACCCCTCCCCTCAATGCCCTTCAACAACCCCCCTCTCCCAATGAATGGCTTCTAGCAATATTTGCAAATTGCAGCCAACCCCTTGGGGGATGCCAGCTTGAGCCGGGGCTTCTTCCACGAGCTCACCATAGCTCTCCTTGAAGCCAACAAGATGTCATGGCTTTGCCAGGAGTTCCCCAAGCAAGAACGGCCAGGGGGTGGCAGGACAAGAGAAACAGATTTGAAATGGGCTTAGAGAAAGGGAAACTGAACCTTGAGAGACAGTTTGAGAGCCAGTTCAGTGCAGTGGTTAAGTGCACGGACTCTGATTTGGGAGAACCGGGTTTGATCTCCCACTCCTCCACATGCAACTGCTGGGGTGACCTTGGGTCAGTCACAAGTTCTCTCAGAGCTGCTCTCTCAAGGGCAGTCCTTGAAAGAGCTCTCTCAGCCCCACCTGAAACAAATGCATGGGTTGATCTGTGACGGGATCAGACCGTGTGTCAAAAACAAGCCCTTCATGACAATAAAGTAGGTTATATATTTTTCTTTTTTACACAGACCAGCATCCTCAGTCTGAAAGTCCAGCAAACCGGGGGGGGGGGAGCAACGATCTCTTTGGGTGCCGAACCGCAAACGGTTTCCTCACCTCTCCACTGCCCTGTCCAGCAAATAGAAGAGAGCCTGGAGCACCACATGCTGAACGCTTTTGTTGGGGTGGTGTAACTTGGCCGTGAAGAGGGCGATCGAGGCGCCGGAAGGGTCTCGTACGCTCTGCCAAAGAATGCCAGGAGAAAAGGGTCAGTGCAGGAAATACGGGAGCGAATCAGTCTCATTGAGGTCAAAAGCCACAACGTTCCAGGTGTCGCACGGTGGAATGGAATCATGACACTAGTGTTGGCATCAAATAGGAACACTACTTAGCATTTTAAAAGCACTTTTATGCCCATTTTCTTGGGGGGAGAGGGGGCTTCATACCTCACCCGAGGCCACCTTTAGTTCATAGCAAAGGTAAGATCTGAACCAGAGACTTCCCAAGCCAAAGTTCAGTTTCCTCGCTGTTACACTGCACCCGCTCTCATGTAGTATTTTTAAAGTGAAGCAGGTTCTGGAGCTGATCAGTGCCTGAAGGGGCACTAGGGTTGCCCGCTCTGAGTTGGGAAATACCTGGAGATGCTTGTGATGCAGACTGGGGAGGGGAGGGGACTGCAGCAGGGTACAGTGCCATAGAGGTAGGGTTGCCAGGTGAGGCCGACAAGCCTGCGGGGGACTTACCAGGAGGCTCCAGGAGAGGAGAGGGAAGAAGTGCGACTGAAATCCGAAGCGAGTTCTGTGTGAGCGGGCCATCGCACTTAAAGGGACTGTGTTCCTTTTAAATGCCTTCTCTCCATTGGAAATAATGGAGGACGGCGGCAACTTCTTTGGGGGCTCATAGAATTGGACCCCCTGGTCCAATCTTTTTGAAACTTGGGGGGGATTTTTAAGGAGAGGCATCAGCAGCTATGCTGAAAATGGGGTGCCTCTACCTCAAAAAACAGCCCCCCCAGAGCCCCAGATAACCAAGGATTGATTGTCCATTATACCTTATGGGGACCGGTCTCCATAGGGTATAATGGAACATCCACCCAACTGGGGACTGGCAACCCCACATAGAGGCCACCCTCCAATGCAGCCATTTTCTCCGTGGGAACAGACTATATTCCTCTATGACTATTCCAGCATGACCTGTTATTATCGCTATACAATACTATTAGTGCCATATCAACATTGTCACTAGCACTTGATGATTGTCTATAACCAGGGCTTTTTTTTGTAGAAAAAGCCCAGCAGGAACTCATTAGCATATTAGGCCACACCCATGACAGCACAGATCATTAGCATATTAGGCCACACCCCGTGTCACCAGAAGTGTGGTCATCCAGCCACACCCACCTTTTGCTTCTTATTCTGTTTACCTTGTTTGTTGTCAAAACCCAGGGCTTTTTTTGGAGCAGGAACTCCTTTGCATGTTAGGCCACACCCCCCAAATGTAGCCAATTCTAATGAGTTCCTGCTGTTGGGTGTGGCCTATTATGCTAATGAGTTCCTGCTGGGTTTGGCAACTTGGGAGCCAGCCGGAACTCTGTTCCTGTGCGTTCCTGCCCAAAAATAGCCCTGTATATAACTCTTTAGGATTATTTACGGTTGTTTTATATTTGTGTTGTTTTTATCTGTTTTAGTTTTTTACGTAAGCCACTCCGAGCCTGCTCCGGCGGGGATGGCGGGATATACATCTAAGAAACAAATAGATAGATAGATAAATACAATCTTGGTTGCCTGGAGATCAATTGTAATAGCGAGAGATCTGCAGGTGCCGCCTGGAGGATGGCAACCTTAACAGGCAATCTCTTTTTAGTTCAGATTTTCAAAAGGATGACTATAAAAGGAGTGCCCCCGGCGACTAACAGGTATGCCCAAGCCGCATCCCCTTCCGCAGGGAATTGTGAGGTTTTCCGAGGTGAAATGCGTCAAGCCCTCCCAAAGCCAAAACCAAGAGTGTAACAATCACATTATGACCAGTCCGTCCAAGACCCAATTATGACAGATCAGGCCAACTAATTGAGCAGTAATTACTCCGGCCAGAAGATCTGAGCAGGAGGAGGGCGTCTTTCCCGGCGTCCACGGCCGGGCATCCTTTGACTGGAGATGCCGGGGATTGAACCTGTGACCTTCTGTGTGCAAAACGGGCGTTCAGCCACTGAGCTGCGGGGCCCTTCTCGGAATTGCTTCTAATCGCCCAGGGCCTCCCAGGAGCGCAGCTCAGGAAGAGCAAATCCCACCGGCCCGTACTCACCAGGATAGTGAACTTCCCGCTAAGCAGCTCAGAGCGGAGGGGCTCCTCGTGCGGTTTCAGCTTCACAATCCCTTCTTTCAGCCTGGTCTCCTAAGAAGCAGGAAAAGAGTTTTTCAGGCGCACGGAGTGGATTTCCCTGTCTGCGGCTTAAGAGCCGGGTGTTCTCCTGGAAGGATCGCCCCTCCCTTTCAGGAGCCGCATGCCAATCTCGCCCGGCCGGTTTGCAGAATGGTGGCGAAACTGCTCCTCCTCTCTCTGAGGATCACCAGGGCAGGAGGACACAGGGTTGCCAGCTCCGGGTTGGGAAATACCTGGAGACAGGGCATTTTTGGTAGAAAAAGCCCAGCAGGAACTCATTAGCATAATAGGCCACACCCAACAGCAGAAACCTATTAGCATATTAGGCCACACCCTGACAGCACCACTCATTAGCCTATTAGGCCGCACCCCCATGTTACCAGAAGTCTGGTCATCCAGCCACATCCACCTTTTGATTCTTATTCTGTTGACCTTTTTTGTGGTCAGTCCAGGGCTTTTTTTGTAGCAGGGACTCCTTTGCATGTTAGGCCACACACCCCTAATGTAGCCAATCCTAATGAGTTTCTGCTGTTGGGTGTGGCCTGTTATGCTAATGAGTTCCTGCTGGGGGTGGCCAACTCGGGAGCCAGCCGGAACTCCGTTCCTGTGCGTTCCTGCCCAAAAATAGCCCTGCCTGGAGATTGGGGGGGGGGCGAGTTTAGGGAGGGGAGGGACCTCATCAGGGTACCGTGCTGTGGAGTCCACTCTCCAAGGTGGCCATTTTCTCCAGAGGACACAATCTTGGCCATCTGGAGATCCACTGTAATAGCAGGCGATCTCCAGGTTCTACCAGGAGCTTGGCAACCCTAGCTGGACGGAAGGGACTGGGAATCTGCCAGGTTTTTTCGGAAAGGGGTCTCTAATGCAGAGCCTGGGAGGACCCTGAAATGCGGAGCTTTTATGGTAAGGGGGGAGTCTAAGAACCTGAGAGAAGCCGTGTTGGATCAAGCCAATGGCCTCTGCAGTCCAACCTTCTGTGTCACACAATGGCCAAAACCCAGGTCCACCAGCAGGGTCGGAACTCCAGAAGCCCTCCCACTGTCGCCACCCCCCAAGCACCAAGAATACACAGCATCACTGCCCCAGTCATAAGAACATCAGAGAAGCCATGTTGGATCAGGCCAGGGGCCCACCCAGCCCAGCACTCTGTGTCACACACTGGCCAAAACCCAGGTGCCATCAGGAGGTCCACCAGCGGGGCCAGAACTCCAGAAGCCCTCCCACTGTGGCCCCCCAAGCACCAAGAAGACAGAGCATCACTGCCCTGGACAGAGTGCTCCATATATACCTTGTGGCTAATAGCCGCTCACGGACCTCTGTTCCATATGTTTCTCCAACCCCCTCTTGAAGCTGTCTACGCTTGTAGCCGCCACCACTTCCTGCGGCAGTCAATTCCATGTGTTAATTCGTCTTCGGGTGAAGAAGTACTTCCTTTTATCTCTTCTAAGCCTACTGCTCATTAATTTCACGGACTGCCCACAAAGTTCTTTCATCGGGAGAAAGTAAGGAAAGTACTTCTTTCTCTACTTCCTCTATCCCATGTATAATAAACCTCGATCATGTCACCCATCAGCCAGCCCATCAAGTTCTTAGTCCTCAGGGATATTAAGGCTGAAAAAGACTCCTGAGAACAAGATGTTAGGCCGAGAAGATCTGGGTAGGAATTCAAATGGTTAAAGGGGATATTTTCCCTCAGCACAGGTGAGGCCCTTGCCAGGCAATTGACGGGTTACAAATGATCCCTCTAAGCTGTGGAGCCCTGTGGGCAAAAATTCTACTTTCTGAGCTACCGGCATCAAAGCTGTGAGTGAGCGATTCGGCTGCTGCATAAATCAGTTTGCTCTGGAGTCCTCCTTACTGAGCTGAGACAAAAATGGGTGAGCCGGAGGCTAAAAAACTGTGAGCCAGCTCACACTAACTCAGCTTAGAGGGAACACTGGTTACAAGTCTCTCAAGGGGCTAATTCAACAAAAGCAAGCGTCGTTTTCTCGACTCTCCTCTTATGGGATCACACCGGGGTTCCTCGTTGTGGATCAGGCGATGGTCCTGATCCTGGGCCCTCGCCTTCCTCAAATCTGGCTCCCTTACACAACCTGTTCCCCCAGATAATTATGGAAACTTCCCAGGTGAAATTGCTGAGGAGAATCACCAAAAGGACAGCAAGCCCCAAGCACAGATTGTTGTGACCCTGATCTCAATTCATGACTGCGGTTCCACCTATAATCTCCTGTTTTCAGTCCCTGGTGCATCCGGCTTCCTACCGTCTAACTGACCCTTTCTGATACCACTATTTGGCTTCCAGGGAAAAGAGAGGGCGTTTCTTGACTTAAAGCAGAAGATGTCCGATCCGGTTGGGGGCAGAGGCCTATAGGGGTGCCAGTCCCCTGGTCCGGGTGGGCGTCCCCCCACTTTTGTGGACCTCTCCCCACCGTCGGCTAGGCGGCCGGTGGGCGGGGAAACCCCACATGCAAATGCCCCGAAACGCAGCACAATGACATCGCCCGGAAGTGACATTATCACAGCGCCAGTGTTATGTGGCGACGCTCTAGTTTTGGGGGCAAAACTCTATGGCAAAATTGGGCTCAAACCTTCAACGAAAGTTTAGACAACTAGTAAAGGGCCAAAAGTTAAAGGCATCAATAGTTATGGACAAAGGTACATGTATTTATTTCAAAAACACATAAAAACCTTGTAGGGGCCCAAATAAAGCCTCATAAAATCATCAAAGTGACAAATGCACACACAAAAAAGAACCACGTATGACCAGACGTGTTTTGGCCAATGCTCCCTCTAAGCTGCGGAGTCTTGTGAGCAAAAATTCTACTTTCTGAGCTACTGGCATTAAAGCTGTGAGCGAGCGGTTTGGCTGCTGTATCAGTGAGTGGGCTCTGGAGCCGGCCTTCCTGAGCGAAGACAAAAATGTGTGAGCCGGAGACTAAAAAACTGTGAGCGAGCTCACACTAACTCAGCTGAGAGGAAACATTGGTTTTGGCCCGCAAGAGCCTTCTTCTGAGGTCAAATAATACAGAATACAACATGAAACAAAGTCCCTATGACACTTGTAAGGCAGGAAACAATTGATATAAGGCCCAAAATGGAATGTTTGAATGACACACACACACACACACACACAAACTTGTTTGTGAGGCCACAACTGTATCTGACCTTGTGTCAGCACCAATTACATATATTGGAAATAGCAACAGGGCTATTTTTGGGCAGGAACGCACAGGAACGGAGTTCCGGCTGGCTCCCGAGTTGGCCACGCCCAGCAGGAGTTCATTAGCATAACAGGCCACACCCAACAGCAGAAACTCATTGGAATTGGCTACATTAGGGGTGTGCGGCCTAACATGCAAAGGAGTTCCTGCTACAAAAAAACCCCTGGGTTTTGACAACAAACACGGTAAACAGAATAAGAAGCAAAAGGTGGGTGTGGCTGGATGACCACACTTCTGGTAACATGGGGGTGCAGCCTAATAGGCTAATGAGCTGTACTATCAGGGGTGTGGCCTAATATGTTAATGAGTTTCTGCTGTTGGTTATGGCTTATTATGCTAATGAGTTCCTGCTGGGCTTTTTCTACAAAAAAGGCCCTGGATAGCAATATTGCCGATATGTACTTTCCAGTTTAGGTCCTTAGAATACAAGTAGAATTGCGTTATCGGGGCCAATGTACCATCAATATGTACCCAAAGGAGTCTCAGACCAGCTTACAATCTCCTTCCCCTTCCTACAACAGACATCCTGTGAGGTAGGTGGGGCTAAGAGAGCTCTCTCTTGAGGACTGCTCCTGAGAGAACAGCTCTGAGAGAACTTGTGACTGACCCAAAGTCACACCAGCAGCTGCATGTGCAGGCGTGGGGAATCAAACCCGGTTCTCCCAGATTAGAGTCCATGTTCCTAACCACTACACCAAAGTGTTGGTGGACACTGTGGCACCTATGGGCCCAACTTTGGGTGGCCCTGCCCTAGAATATGGTTCAACATACGCTCCCCATGGACTCTGATCTCATGCCACTTACCCTGTAGGAGTGGAAGAGTTCGATTGCTCGAAGGACGTCAAATTTCCTGGCCATGAGGAACTTGACTGCCACATTCCAAGAGAGTGGCGAGACATTGTATTGGACCGTCCACTTGTTAATCTCTTCAAGAAATTGCTTGGTAGCCTGTTTGGGGAAAAAAGAAGATACACTGAAGGCGGAATACAATCTAAATACCAAGACGATACAAAAGATTTCTTACATTCCCCCCCCCCCCCCCCCCCTTTCCCACCACCCCGGACGAAAAATTGGTTCTCAGATTGGCTCACAGCAATCAGAAGGCAACAGAACTGAGAACTGTTCCCGAGAGAAGGGATTCCTAGCTAGCTGCTTCCTGGCCTCCCTCGGATGCTTCCTGACCTCCCTTTGATGCTTCCTGGCCTCCCTCTGTTGCTTCCTGGCCACCTTCCTCTGACAGTACAATTAGCAACAGATGTAAGCCAGAAGTTCAGTTTCATCCAGGCAGGACTGAAGGATGACTGGCTGTTTCCTGTCTTCCCCATGACAGAAGTTCAGCTATTAAGGAAACAAGCCCGATCTCAGTAGCTAATCAGGGTCGACTCTGGCAAGTACTTGGATGGGAGACCTCCTTGAAATACCAGCAGTTGGGAGGACAGGGACAGGCTTCATTTAGCCACCTCTCTCAGTATCCTCCAGGCTCCCAGTAGGGGTCAGTCACCAGAGATCGCCATGACTTCCAGGTGCGCGCGCGCGCGCACACACGTATGAAAAAAAACCCCTCAGGGGAAAAAAAGAGAGCAACATCTAGATCACCAATACAGGTGACAGGCAACAGGTCCAGGATCACTAACCCACCAAAAAAGAAGCATAATAGAGCTTCCATGCACAGAGGCAGTCTACCATTTTATACCAGAGAGTGGAGAGAAGCAAGCGAGGAGGGACATCTGTTTCATACCCTGCTTGTGAATGCAGAGTGGCATTTTGGTACTGGCAGCCAATGTTCCCTCTAAGCTGTGGGAAGATGCCAATGTTGGATAAGAGATGCCAATGTTGGATCAGACCAAAAAACCTGCTTTGTGAGCTGCCGGCATTAAAGTTGTGAGTGAGCGATTTGGCTACTGCATAAACGAGTTTGCTCTGGAGCCATCCTTCCTGAGCTGAGATGAAAATGTGAGAGCCGGAGGCTAAAAAACTGTGAGCTTACAACACTGTGAGATTACAACACTGGTTGTAATCAATGCTCCCTCTAAACTGTGGAGTCCTGTGAGCAAAAATCCCACTTGGTGAGCTGCTGGCATTAAAGGTGTGAGCAAGCGATTTGGCTGCTGCATAAATCAGTTTGCTCTGGAGCCGTCCTTCCTGAGCTGAGACAAAAATGTGTGAGCTGTAGGCTAAAAAACTGTGAGCTAGCTCACACTGACTCAGCTTAGAGGGAACACTGCCCACGACATCCACGCCGACATCAATCCCTAGATGGCAGCCGTAGTGAGAACCAATGCTCCCTCTAGGCTGTGGATTCCGTTCTAGCTAATATCCATTTCTAATGGCTACCTGCTGACATATATTCACCATAGTTCTAGTCTGAGATGTAGACAGTAATTAGCTTTCTGTTCTTATGGGGGGGGAGGAATCTGAAGTCCAGGGTTTTTTTTTATGCTTTTGACCTGAACACCAAATACTAATAAATTTTATTTATTATTTTCTTTGTTAGATTAGATTCCACGACCACCCTTCCCCTCTTGCACAGGGCAGTTTAGTTAAACAATTTAGTTAAAACCATAAAAACTCAATATTTCAAACATTCAAAGCATCTAAACATTTAAAGACGTTTTAAAAACAAGGTGGCAGTGCTAGCATTCAGTCATGGCGGAAGGGTGCCAGGCAGATGTATGGAACCGTCGCTGCCTTGGTGAGCTCCCGACATTAAAGTGGTGAATGAGCAATTTGGCTACTGCATAAACTACTTTGCTCTGGAGCCATCCATCCTGAGCTAAGGCAGAAATGTGTGAGCTGGAGGCTAAAAAACTGTGAGCTCGCTCACACTAACTCAGCTTAGAGGGAACACTGCAAGTTGCAGCTGAAGACAGAATGTGGGACTTCACAAGAGACCTTGGGTCTGTTGTGTGCACAGTTTATGAAACACTTTATACTCTGCCACTGACTAACAGGTTTGACTTGGTGGGTGCACTTAGCACTTCCACGGTGCCTATGTTAAGTGCCATTTATGATTCTAACATCACGAATGTATTAACTTTGGTTCATTTGTGACTGTTGTTTGGATGCATGCTGGGAAGGTAAAATGCCGAAAGAACAAAATGTTAACTTGCTATTTTTGCCGAGGCTTATGGCCTTGGCAGGCCAGCTATAACTGCGCACGTCTCTGGCCAAAGGAAGAACAATGGCACCTTGTAAACCATATCAGCTATATAGATACTTTTAGAATTTTACAGTCTAAGAGAAAGAAACACTTATTGTTCAGCTAAAAGAAAAAAACTTTACGTGGGAAAGCCCAGCTTAAAAGGTTTTCTGCCAATCAGAGGTCAGAGTGCTGATGTTTGATGGAACTAATCGTCTTGTTCAATTGGTGTCCATCATCCTGAGTATAAAATCCTATGCCGCCCATCGTAACACGCGAAGAGTCGGTTGGGCATTCAGGGTTCCAAAACCTTGACATCTGTACTCTTCCTTTATCAATTAATCAATTATTTTTTGGTCTTCTACTCTACAGGGCTGCTTTGTGCGTTTTCTCAAACTGGCCTGGGCAAACACAACCCGGACAGAGGTTCTGTCTAACAGGTCTGATCCGACAAGGCTAGCTCTTAGGGTCAAAGCCCAGGGCCTGGGCATCAAACAAGAATGGCCAGGGGGTGGCATCATGCCTTTGTAAAAGATAAAGGTTCCCTTGCACGAAAGCCAGTCGAATCCGACTCTAGGGTTGTGGTGCTCATCTCCGTTTCAAAGCCGAAGAGCCAGCGCTGTCCGAAGACGTTTCCGTGGTCATGTGGCCGGCATGACTAGACACCAAGGCGCACGGAACGCTGTTCCCTTCCCACCGAAGTGGTACCTATTTGTCTACTTGCAATTTCTTGCTTTCGAACTGCTAGGTTGGCAGGAGCTGGAACTAGAGACGGGAGCTCACTCCGTCATGCGGCACACTCGGGTCTCGAACTGCTGAACTACTGACCTTCCACAGCCTGCAGTTCAGCATCTTAACCACTTGAGCCACCGCAGCTCCTCATGCCTTTGACATCCAGGTATTTAAAAACCCACAAGTTGGGTTGCAATCCCTTATTTGGGCCCAAGCTTTGCACGCTATCACCCCTCCGCACGCTACCCCCAATTACCCCTCCGCATGCCTCCCACCCCCGAAGCCGGAACAATCCAGCCGCAAAGCTCCCAACGCCAAAAGTTTAAACACTGCCCGCAGGGACAGGATCTGTGGGAAGGCAGAGAGATAAAGGGGTGACTCACAGGAAGGAAGTGTCTGGAAAAAGCAAGGGAGCCAGATGTCGATCAAAGCAAAAAAGCCGGAACGACAAAGGAAGGGACAAAAGGATTGGAGGAGAACCTGTCGGCGGTCGCCCCGAGATTATTATTCTTCACAAATACCAGGGCAATCTCATTCAGGGTCATGCCCCAGGTGGCTTGCCTAATACAGGAACTTTTCATAGTGTGTGTGTGTGTGTGTGTTTTTACATAAGTCAGCAGCTCTCTCCGACTCCCTCCTCTCCTCCACTTAAGAACATAAGAGATGCCAATGTTGGATCAGGCCAAAGGCCCATCCAGTCCAACACTCTGTGTCACACAGTGGCCAGAAATACCAGGTGCCACCAGGAGGTCCAGCAGTGGGGCCAGGACATTAGAAGCCCTCCCACTGTTGCCCCCCCCAAGCACCAAGAA